TTCAGAGAGAGCCTCTAGAGGATGGGGTGACCATGGCCATAAGCGAGAGGCTAGGACTTAATCCCTGAGGTCCCAGGCCCTGACCCTGCATGACCCCAGTGCCACCTCCACCCCCTGCCATGCCTGCCTGTCATTCTGCTATCATTCTTCCTTGAGCCACCTGCAGGCAGGTGTCCCTTGACTCTCCTGCCATCTGCTCTGCACAGGTGGGTGTGGCCAGCACACTTGCCACTCTTGGCGCCTCTGCTCCTGCTCATCCTTGGGCTAAACCCTGCCTCCTTGTACCCAAGCCCTGATTCCTTCATGAAAAGTCACCCCTTCCGTTCTCCTTAGTCTGTGCTGCCTTAGAACGTTGCGTCTGAATCAGGGTTTTAGCACTTTCTTATATTTAATAAAGGCTTATTTTGAGTGCCAGGCACTGTGCTGCCCTCACAGGCTTGGAAGGGGGAGACAGAGAATGAGTGGGTTATTAGGAAAATGCTGTAAAGTGACATTTATGGCACTGTAGATGGAGACTAACTGGTGTCAAGGGAGGCCTGTCTGAGCACTGACAATTAAGCCGGGATGAAAAGGATGAGGAGGCAGCAGCCATTTGAGAGCCAGTGGGGACAGCATTTGAGGCAGAGGCAACATCACAGGGAGTCCAGAAGGAGCTTACAGTGTTCTAGAAATTGAAGAGAAACTGATGGGACTGGAACTATTGAGTCAGAAGAGTGGTTGGAAATGACAGTGGAGAGGTGGACAGGGTCCCAGTCGTGGACATCCCACGGGCCACGGAGGGACCGAGCTCTCATTCCGAGTCCAGTGAGGAGCCTCCGAAGGCTCGTAGCAAGGGAGTGGTGACCTGTTCACTGTGGCTGCCTGGGAGGATGGAAAGACAAGCGGAAAGGCTGGCGAGGAAGCTCCAGGTGACACAGGCGCGGCCAGAGCAGTGGCAGCAGAGATGGAGACTCAGGGACCAACTTGGGATAGACTTAGGAGCCGGCCACGTTGATGGATTGGATGTGGGGTTGAAGGGAGAGAGGAAATGGCCATCATTCCCAGGTTTCTGGCTAAGCCGCTGGAGGTGGTGATTCCATTCAGTGAAATGAGGTCGGCGGGAGGAATACATTTAGAGAGGGGACAGAGAAGAGTCCCCTTTCAGACGTGTGAAGTGTGAGATGACTCTGAGACACTCCAGAGGAGCTATCAGGCTGTCAAGGTAAACTGGAGCTGAAAAGGAGAACTCCAAGATGGAGATAGAAATCTGGAAATACTAGTAGGATTTAAACCTGTGGGAGGGGTAAGATTACTGTCTCTGTTTCCTAGGGCTGCTGTGACAAGTACCGTAAAATGTGTGGCTCAAAATAAGCAACTGTCTTCTCACAGTTCTGGAGGCTAGAAGTCCGAAGTCCAAAGTCCAGGTGCCACCAGGGTCCTGCTCCCCCTGAAGGCTCCCAGGGAGGATCCTTCCTCGTCTCTTCCAACGTCCTGTGGCTGCAAACGTTCCCTGGCTGTGGCACCGTAATTCTAGCCTCTGCCTCCCTCTTCTTATTAAGGGCACCCGTCATACTGGATTAGGGCCCACCTACCCCGGAGTGACCTCACCCCAACTAACTACATCTGCAGCAGCCCCATTCCCAAATAGGTCACATTCTGAGGTCCTGGGGACTAGGACTTCACCATATCTCTAAAGGGGACACAATTCAACCCATAACAGTTCCCCAGGACGAGGAGGGAAAGAGAAGAGAAGGAGGCCTAGGACTGCCAACATGTGGCGGTTGCATAGAGGAGGACAAGCCAGCAAAGGAAACAGACAAGCCACCAGCAGAGAGGCAGGACAGATCTGGGCAGAGGACGGTATCATGAAAACCGAGAGTGAGCGTTTCAGAACAGAAGATGGTCAACTGTGTGAAGGAAACGCAGCTCTCGGGTCACAGCTGAGAAGTTGACCAACAGATGTGACGACGTGGAGATCACCGCTGATCTTGACAAGTACGGCGCTCCCTGGAGCAGAGTGTCCGAGTCCAGTTAGAGGTCGAGAAGATAATGTGAGGTGAAGAGGCGGAAACGACAGGAGGAGATTACTCTCGAGAGAGAGAGTGGGCTTGGAAGGGGAGCAGAGAAATAGGACAACAGCTGCAGGGGGATGAAGGGATTAGGAAAGGTTCGTGTTTTGGTCTGGGGAGGTTTTTTTTTTTTTTGGTCTGATTTGTCCTTGTGTTCCGCTTTGTTTTCTGAAGTGGGAGCCACTAGGGCATGTTGTGTGCTGCGTCAGCTGTATTCCGTGTCTGCGTGTTGTTGCACACATTTCGTATGCGGCTGGAGTTGTCCGCGTGCTTCGGCGCTGCGTTCCCAGCCTCGGAGCCTTCGGCAGAGAGGACCGCGCTTCTCTTTTGTCTCCCAGCCACCTAGCAGGATGCTCACACGTTTGTTCTTCATGGTCACGGCGAGAATATTCTGCTATGCATTTCATGATACCACGAATGGCTGCCGTTTCATTTTCTTGGTGGACTAAGCAATTTTCACGGGGCCTGTTCGTGTAATGTCAGTTGTCGAAACCTATGTCTGGTGCTTCTTACCAAAGAACATCACTAAAGTGCCTTTGTGTGACAGTCTTAGTTGTTAGATTCTGCCTTGTACACCACCAGGGAACAGAAACTGTTAGAAACTGCCTCCTTGGGCCATGAGAACCAGTCGATTAACTTGATAGGGAGGACAGGCCCACGGTCTAGTCCAGAGAAGTCCCCATGGAGCCAGATCAGCCTGTTCCTAAGACCCAGCCTGGAGACTGGAGTATCAAACGTCCAAACGTCAGGGCTGCGGGAGGGCAGGGCCTCACCAAGGGTCCAGGTGACAGGAACAGGGGGACGGAGGTGAGAATGTGCTGGACCCTTGAGCCAGCAGCCTAAGGAAGGCAGCTCAGGACCAGAACTCTTCTCCCGAGAAGAGGCCTGAGTCTGCATGAGAGGAGGCAGGGAGCATCTCTGTCTAGAACAGGGAGGGCAGAAAGGAAAGCAGGTTCTGACACCATAATCTTCTTTGTAATGCTCTTTTCAGATATCCCTCCTTTTCTAAGAGATGTGGGTTTTTTTTTTTTTTTTTTTAGATAAACTCCAGTGATCTCTAAAGGCACTGCTAGAGGCAATCTGGTGATAATCTCATCAGTCACACGAATGATAAGTGAATCCGGAAGCCCCGGTGTGTGGGCAGCACTGACACAGGTGACTGAGGCAGGAGGTGGGGCCGAGGCCACATGAAACAAGAGGGGCAGCAGGAAGCACTGAGCTACCACGGGCATCCCAGCTCCTCAGGCCTGAGGACAAGGGCAGCCTCTGATGCTCACACCAATGCTCAGAGTGAGGACTGAAGGGGACAAAGGCCAGAGGGGGTGACGTGCCAGGCAGAGCACAGGCAGCTGGAGATGCCCAGCAGGGACAGGGACAGGGACAGTGGAATGCCGGTTCAGTAGCACCCAGGCAGCTCACGCCACACCCCGGCAGTCACTCCCTCCTGCTGCCCAGACTGGCAGCTACGGGTGGCACTCTAGAAGCACCTGGTGGCAGTGCTGAGTCTCAGCTCTGAGGAAGGGAATGAACTCCATTTTACATGTGAAAAATCAAAACTGTGTAACAAGACACATTTGGGTTTGGGTTTTTATTTTTTTTTTTTTCAATATCATTATATAGAAGAAGAAAGATTAGCAATGGGAACAAATTTAAAGGGGGAAGGGGAAGGGTGCTTTTCAAGTGGGGAAAATTCAGCAAGAAGATCGGAGACCGTTTCTGTTTGCTGCCTTCCTCCCCCTCACGCCAGGTGGGAGAAAGGTGCCCGAGAGAGAAGTCTCCCCAGCTCCCGTCACTCCCCCTCCTGCTGGGGAAAGGGTGGGAAAGTAGCCTCTTCCAACACTGCTTAGTCAAGTGGAAAATTTATAGAGAAAACAAAAGTCAGGCTAATGCATTTCATTATCAGCACAGTGCCTTGGGCCACATTCTTTAAAAACATAAGCTATGTTCATATCTCAAACTTCGAGCCTGATTTCTCCAAAACATACCCCTACCTAATCATAACAGATTCTTAGAAAAGATGTGCTCTGTGGTCTCTCTAGTTTTGATTACCAGCTACTCGTGAAATTTTCCCTTTGAGTTCGGTGATTTCCTTCAGAATCTCCGGTCTGTAACTTTGTCTGTCATTATGAAGGGACATAACTCGTACAGCCAGGAGCAGGTTGTTCATGGACTTTAAAATGGAATTCTGGTTGCTGTTCCGAATATGTGTTCATGAACAGGGTTCTATAATTGTAATATTAGATAACTTTTAAGATTAAATTTTTAAAAGCTAATGGGAAAAATAGCAGTGTTTCCTTGGGAAGGTGTTATGCAAATTCCTAAGCAAGTGATCATTGCTGTGAACAGATATTGGACATAATCCCATTATTTTGGGTGGGGGAAGCTTGTTTTACATATTCCTGAACGCAGAATGCCTGGAGCTGGGTGCAGCCAGCTACTTGGAGGGCTGTAGTGCGCTGCGACTGCACCCAGGAATAGCCACAGCACTCCAGCCTGGGCAACACAGTGAGACCCTGTTGGTCCATTGATCAATTGATCGATAGGTAAAAGCGAACAGAATACCTGTATTTCAGAATTCCTTTGTAAAAACCATGCATTCTCTATCAATTAGTTTCCCAGATTTTCGGCTACAAAAGATAACTTCGGAGTATCTCTAACGTGGTTATTAGTTCATTTGATTGGCGTGCGATGGCAGTGAAGTCAGTAGACGTGGGTCCCTGTAGGTCTGGTCTAAAGCCACAGACCTACCCTTCATCTCAGCCAACCGGGTCATCCGCTGATAGGAAAACCAAGCCAGAGGATGGAAGGATCGTTGCAACGCAGCACTGAGCACCATAGGCCCTTCACAGGGGAGTCGGTAATGGCATCCTGGGTGTGGAAGACAGAATTCAGATAGAAATAGCTGCCTGCATCTCCGAATTGCTAATGGTTTCTTCTGTTCTTCCTTTTCAGGGCCCCTGAGATCATCCTTGGTTTACCATTCTGTGAGGCGATTGATATGTGGTCCTTGGGCTGTGTCATCGCAGAGCTGTTCCTGGGCTGGCCGTTATACCCAGGAGCTTCGGAGTACGATCAGGTGGGTCCAGATGGCACAGGTATTCGCAGGCCTCATTCTTCGTCTGGAAAATACCCTGGATTAGCATTTCATTTATAGCATGACAAAGGGATGGGGTTATGGGTGTTACCTTGCTTCCCTGAACCTTGCTATTTTTCCTTTATTCCTTTTGCTTTTCCCTTTTTCTTTTTCTTCTTTCTCCTTTCTTTCCCTATAAAATTGTCATTTTCGTTTTTCTCAAAGCCACTAGAGCCATTAGTATACCATATGTACGGTGACAGGAAAAGCCCTGACCTCATTCTCATCTTTTCTTGCAGATTCGGTATATTTCACAAACACAGGGTTTGCCAGCTGAATATTTATTAAGCGCAGGGACAAAGACAACTAGGTTTTTCAACCGTGACACAGACTCGCCGTATCCTTTGTGGAGGCTGAAGGTAGGAAGAGCTTCCCCTCCACTCCTCACCAGTGGCCCAACACCCAGGGACGAGGGGCACGGTCCCATTAGTGGGGAGCTTTTGACTCAGTCAGCAAAATGGGGGCAGGGAGGCTGTTGTTAATACGTGGTGTGTCTGAATGTTCAAAAGCACCTCTTTTCCTTGGCCTACTGCCGCCTGTGAAGCTCGAGTCCCAGGTTATGATTGCTGAACTCCCAGGATTTGATCCGATAAGCTTGATGGCTTCTCATTTGTGCTAGGGAGAGAAATGAGCCCCACTCTGTCCTTGAGAGCTCACAGTCCAGAGGGAGGTTGGACCATGTTCCGTAAGCTCTAGCCCACCGTGATAAGGGCCCTGTTCCTGGTAGGAAAAGAATGTGGGAGCCAAGGGGAGGGAGCACTTACTATGGCCTGTGGCAGAGGGTCAGGGAGGAGCGTTTGAGCTGTGCCCTGAAGAATGAAGAGGGTCTTTGCCCCGTAGAGAAGTGGGGGAGGGTTTTCCAGACAGAGGCTGCCAAGCAGCGGGAGTGTACCAGGGGCCCAGGGAGGGTCTGGTTTGCACAGGCCCGCAGGTGGTGCGGTACACCGCTGCCCACCATAAACTCTTGGGGGGTTTACTTTAACAGAAACATATTTCACTTTCACTTTGATCTGTGCCTAGTCATTAAAATTAATGTATTTTCCTGGTAAAAAGAAAATAATAAAGTCTTAAGTATGTTTTATATTCATTTTGCAAGAAGTTCGGTGGGTGGATTTTTTTTTTTTATGGAACCTAATATGGTTCTAATTCTAATATGGTTTAAAGATAATGTGTGGCCGGTAGTGGTAAAAGATTGAGAAAAGAGATTTCAGAGCTAACCACACACTCTTAGGCTAGTGATGGGAGGCCTGGCATTTGGCAGTTGTGAGGGTGAGTGTCAAGGTCAGGTCTAGTAAAAAGAGTCCTCAGGTAGAGGAGGGTGAGGCCAGGCCAGAGGCAGGGTTCACTTCCATGTCTTACTAAAGAGCCTCAGTCCTACACGTCCATCTGTTCCCAGGATTTAAGCCACTCCAGGTGTGCTGTCCTTGAGTGAGATTTTAAGGATTCATTACCTCTGATCCATGGATGAGTCCAAAAACCCATAGCAATTGGAAACAGCAGTTTCCCAAGGCAGTGGGGAAAAGGCATGTCTGTATCTGAGCCCCAGGCAGAGAGCAGCACAGAACACGGACTCTGGAGCCACCTGCCACCTATTGGCCATGCAACCTTGGCAAGTGCCCTAAGCTTTCTATTCCTGTTTCCCCATCTGGAAAATGGGGCTAGTAATTGTCTTAACTAATGTGCTGTGAAGAGTATTAAACAAGTAAGTGTGCTTTAGAACAGTGCCTGGCACATAGCAAGAGGTATGTGGATAAGGGTTTGTTAAATAAAATTTTAAAACTCATGAAAAAGGGCTTCTGATTCTCCATGGAATCTTACATTACCCCTTAAATTCAAGGAAGACGGTAGAGTGATCAGGGATGTGGCATATCTGACTCATCCTAGACTGCTCCCTACCTGACTCAGAGCGGCCCCCTGACAGGTGTTCACGGGAAGGAGGAGGGATGAGTTAGCATGGGTGAAGAGAGAAAGAAATGAGTGTGCAGGTCACTTTAAGAAGAATCAAAGTCTCCCTTTCTGAATGGTGGGAAAGAGACCCTCGGCGAGAAGCAGAAACTGGAGAGTTTGAGTCCCTGTGGCTAGGAGATAAGTTACGTTACCAATCAGCTTTTGCCTCTCTTGACAGACACCAGATGACCATGAAGCAGAGACAGGGATTAAGTCAAAAGAAGCAAGAAAGTACATTTTCAACTGTTTAGATGATATGGCCCAGGTAAGCTTCATGGGTGAGTATGCAATGTAAGCCCTTTAAAAACCAAGTGCAGCAAGACTTCTGCAAGAGTAATACAGGGTACTGGATAGAAATCCACATTGCTCAAGTGCAGTGGTTGACCTTGACCGTTTTTTTTTTTTTTTTTTTTT